ACGATCAGAGTTGCTCTATTTGATGCCTTGTGATGTCACATGATTAATGAACCAGAGAGAGAGAGAGAGAGAGAGAGAGAGAGAGAGAGAGAGAGAGAGAGAGAGAGAGAGAGAGAGAGAGAGAGAGAGAGAGAGAGAGAGAGAGAGAGAGAGAGAGAGAGAGAGAGAGAGAGAGAGAGAGAGAGAGAGAGAGAGAGAGAGAGAGAGAGAGAGAGAGAGAGAGAGAGAGAGAGAGAGAGAGAGAGAGAGAGAGAGAGAGAGAGAGAGAGAGAGAGAGAGAGAGAGAGAGAGAGAGAGAGAGAGAGAGAGAGAGAGAGAGAGAGAGAGAGAGAGAGAGAGAGAGAGAGAGAGAGAGAGAGAGAGAGAGAGAGAGAGAGAGAGAGAGAGAGAGAGAGAGAGAGAGAGAGAGAGAGAGAGAAGAGTCCGGAGAGAGAGAGAGAGAATCATACGAATAACTTTTAACCGAATTCCCCAAAAACCAGTCACTCAAGTTCATTTAAATGAATCCTGCTATCGCCATTATCTATATAATATCCGAAGGCACTCTACATATATAACAGGGCCACTGGTGTAAAACTTGTATGGGCGATAAATCAGAGGATACTATAATTAAAAAAATAATTTATATATACAGGAAATAAAGATTTTTTACCCAGATGCACAAAAAATTAGCATTTAACCCCATACTTGACGGGAAGTAGCCAGCGCTGGCGACCGAATTCAAAGCCCGTTAAAGAGGAAGTCAACGATTTGGAGGATAATCTTGCTTCGGAGGGCTGTGATTGGCCAGCGACGGCGGACAAGCCCTCCACCTTCACTTATTGCCCCTCAGACCACCTCATTACGGAGCTGATTGGGCAGGGCGGAGACGGAGGAATTTATGCAGGGAATATTAGGGTGATGGGGGGAGGGACAGGGTGACAGTGTATATGGATTGCGACGTTGGGCCGAGGAGCGCATGAGGACTGTGACTCGTCCTGGACTTGATTATGTCTCGTTTCACCGTCACATTAGACGGAGTCTCGCTTCACCGTCACATTAGACGGAGTCTCCCTCACCCGTCACACTAGACTGAGTCTCCCTCACCCGTCACACTAGACGGAGTGTCCCTCACCCGTCACACTAGACGGAGTGTCCCTCACCCGTCACACTAGACTGAGTCTCCCTCACCCGTCACACTAGACGGAGTCTCTCTCACCCGTCACACTAGACGGAGTCTCCCTCATCCGTCACACTAGACGGAGTGTCCCTCACCCGTCACACTAGACGGAGTGTCCCTCACCCGTCACACTAGACTGAGTCTCCCTCACTCGTCACACTAGACTGAGTCTCTCTCACCCGTCACACTAGACGGAGTCTCTCTCACCCGTCTATCTGGCCAGCTCATCCAAGGTTTTTATCTCTCGTTATTATGAAAAACAGCTTCAGAAATTAAAACTTCATGCGTCATCATTAGGCTGTGAGGGAGGCGACGGGTAGAGGCTGTGGAGTACGTGCGTGTACCTCGGCGTGCACGTGAGTTTGTGCGTGCGTTGGTGAATTTGCGTGTGCGAGTTTGTTATGGGAACAAAGCCGAAAAGAACCTGCGAGTGAACCAAACACATACACGCGCGCATACACACACACACACACACACACACACCACACACACACACACACACACACACACACACACACACACACACAACACCACACACACACCACGCACACACACAACGCACACGCACACGCACACACACACACACACACACCATACACATGGAATCATACATGTCAATGTTTGCAGATGACGCAAAATTAATGAGAAGAGTTGTGACAGACGAGGATTGTAGGATCCTCCAAGAGGACTTAAACAGGCTGCAGAGATGGTCAGGGAAATGGCTACTGGAGTTTAACACCAGTAAATGTAAAGTTATGGAAATGGGATCAGGTGACAGGAGACCAAAGGGACAGTACACAATGAAGGGGAACAGCCTACCTGTAACGATTCGAGAAAGAGACCTGGGAGTGGATGTGACACCTAATCTAACTCCTGAGGCACATATAAATAGGATAACGACAGCAGCGTACTCTACACTGGCGAAAATTAGAACTTCATTCAGAAACCTAAATGAGGAAGCTTTTAGGGCGCTTTACACTGCCTACGTGAGACCCGTCTTAGAGTATGCCGCGCCATCATGGTGCCCCCACCTGAAGAAACACATAAAGAAACTGGAGAAGGTTCAGAGGTTTGCGACGAGGCTTGTCCCAGAGCTACGAGGGATGGGATATGAAGAGCGGCTGAAGGAACTGAACCTTACGACACTAGAGAAAAGAAGGGAGAGAGGAGATATGATAGGGACATATAAAATACTCAGGGGAATTGACAAAGTGGAAATAGATGAAATGTTCACACGTAATAATAACAGAACGAGGGGACATGGGTGGAAACTGGAAACTCAGATGAGTCACAGAGATGTTAGGAAGTTTTCTTTTAGCGTGAGAGTAGTAGAAAAATGGAATGCACTTGGGGAACAGGTTGTGGAAGCAAATACTATTCATACTTTTAAAACTAGGTATGATAGGGAAATGGGACAGGAGTCATTGCTGTAAACAACCGATAGCTAGAAAGGCGGGATCCAAGAGTCAATGCTCGATCCTGCAAGCACATATAGGTGAGTATATAGGTGAGTACACACACACACACACACACGGATGTACGTGTCATCCGTCAAAGCCCAACTGTCAAACTTGCCCTCCGCCGCTACCCAGCCCATAGCATCTTGACAACTTCCTCCCCAGAGAGCGGGCGGGGGTATCTATCTATCTATCTATCTATCTATCTATCTATCTATCTATCTATCTATCTATCTCTCTCTCTCTCTCTCTCTCTCTCTCTCTCTCTTAACCTTTCCGTATATTTATTCTCATCTAACATCCCACTAATCCAGAATGTGCTATTATATGATAGACATTTTCTGATCTCTAGAATCTATCACATCTCCCTTTGGCTGACAGAGACTGGAGCCCTCGGTGACTGAGCTCACAAACTGGTGCTCGTACACCTGAGTACCGTCGCTGACTGGTAAGTGTTCACTCACATACACACACTTCGAAGACCTGAGTTAAGGGGGTACTTGAATGACAGAAAACAGTCACAGTTGAATAGACAGTTTCAAGCTGGAGTAATGTGACAATTGAGGCCCCTAAGGGCTCGGTACTGGGACCAGCTCGGTACTGGGACCAGCTCGGTACTGGGACCAGCTCGGTACTGGGACCAGCTCGGTACTGGGAACAGCTCGGTACTGGGACCAGTTCGGTACTGGGACCAGCTCGGTACTGGGACCAGTTCGGTAGTGGGACCACTCGGTACTGGGACCAGCTCGGTACTGGGACCAGCTCGGTACTGGGACCAGTTCGGTACTGGGACCAGCTCGGTACAGGGACCAGCTCGGTACTGGGAACAGCTCGGTACTGGGACCAGTTCGGTACTGGGACCAGCTCGGTACTGGGACCAGTTCGGTACTGGGACCACAGCTGCTCTTTATTGGTGTGAATGACCTACACGAGGGCGTGACCTCGTAAATATCAATGTTTACAACAATGTTAATGCCAAGTGTAAAAACTGAAGAAATTGTCCCAAAGTTACAATTTGGCCTTGTTAATCTCCAGGCGTTTGCTAACAAGTGGTTTCTGGAATTTAATACCATTAAGTGTAAGAAAATAAAGATAGGAACTGGAGAAAGACTGCAAAGATTGCCTACACCGTAAAGGACAGGGTAACTACAGAGAAAATGATCCGAAAGTGGATACAATTCCAACACCTGAGGCACACACAAACAGGGTGTCATCAGCAGCGTATGAGACGCTGGCTTAAATTAGAACGTCGTTCTAAAATTAGAACGAACGGCCTCTTTCAAGGCAATCTATACACCGAAGCACTAGGAGGCTGTTTATAACAGTAACAACAGTTGACTGGCAAGTTTTCACGCTTGTAAACTGTTTAATAAATGTAACCAAAGCCGTCAAAGATTGAGGAAAGATGTACACCTTCGTAAGTACTTGCGTAACTGCTTCGTGAATCTGGCCCCCAGGTTCGTAAGCACTTTCGTAACTGCTTCGTGAATCGGGCCCCAGGTTCATAAGTACTTGCGTAACTGCTTCGTGAATCTGGCCCCAGGTTCATAAGTACTTGCGTAACTGCTTCGTGAATTTGGCCCCAGGTTAGTAAGTACTTGCGTAACTGCTTCGTGAATTTGGCCCCAGGTTCGTAAGCACTTGCGTAACTGCTTCGTGAACCAGGGCCCAGGTTACCTCCAGTCCCCGTAGTGAGTGATAGGTTATCTTGAGATGATTTCGGGGCTTTTTAGTGTCCCCGCGGCCCGGTCCTCGACCAGGCCTCCACCCCCAGGAAGCAGCCTGTGACAGCTGACTAACACCCAGGTACCTATTTACTGCTAGGTAACAGGGGCATAGGGTGAAAGAAACTCTGCCCATTGTTTCTCGCCGGCACCTGGGATCGAACCCAGGACCACAGGATCACAAGTCCCGGGTGCTGTCCGCTCGGCCGACCGATTCCCGGTGAGCACAACCGTCTCACACACCTGGCCGCTGTGCCCTCAGGTGTGTGAACGGTAACCACCGCTGGTAGTTAACCCCGTCTCCTTACCCCTCAGCGCGGTAGTTACGAGTTGTAAGTTAACGCCAAGTGGCTACTTCCTCCTCTCTCACAACCAGTGTTTTTCCCTAATTGAAAATCATCTGAAACTGGTAGTTGGCCTCTTCTAAACTACCAGTTGTACCAGGACTATTGGATGGGGGGTAGGTGTTGGTTGTGGTTTTACCACTTTGGCTCAACTCTGATTATTTTCTGACGGGACGAGACGATTTGGCAGCAGTAAACTCAACGCGAATGTGTCGTCTGACTGACCTTCAATGATACGCACCAGTCATTACCCGTCGTCAACACAACGGCTCTGTTTTTCTTCTGACTATTTATGGTGAACATGAACCCTTCACAGTCGCGCATGAACCCTTCACAGTCGCGCATGAACCCCTCACAGTCGCGCATGAACCCCTCAGAGTCGCGCATGAACCCCTCACAGTCGCGCATGAACCCTTCACAGTCGCGCATGAACCCTTCACAGTCGCGCATGAACCCCTCAGAGTCGCGCATGAACCCCTCACAGTCGCGCATGAACCCCACACAGTCGCGCATGAACCCCTCACAGTCGCGCATGAACCCCTCACAGTCGCGCATGAACCCCTCAGAGTCGCGCATGAACCCCTCACAGTCGCGCATGAACCCCTCAGAGTCGCGCATGAACCCCTCACAGTCGCGCATGAACCCCTCACAGTCGCGCATGAACCCCTCACAGTCGCGCATGAACCCCTCACAGTCGCGCATGAACCCCTCACAGTCGCGCATGAACCCCTCACAGTCGCGCATGAACCCTTCACAGTCGCGCATGAACCCTTCACAGTCGCGCATGAACCCTTCACAGTCGCGCATGAACCCTTCACAGTCGCGCATGAACCCTTCACAGTCGCGCATGAACCCCTCACAGTCGCGCATGAACCCTTCACAGTCGCGCATGAACCCCTCACAGTCGCGCATGAACCCCTCACAGTCGCGCATGAACCCCTCACAGTCGCGCATGAACCCCTCACAGTCGCGCATGAACCCCTCACAGTCGCGCATGAACCCCTCACAGTCGTGCACAAACCCTCACAGTCGCGCACAAGCCTTCACAGTCGCGCACAAGCCTTCACAGTCGTGCACAAGCCTTCACAGTCACACACAAACCTCCACATCAATATATATATATATATATATTTCTTTTTTTTTGAGCAGCATATATATATATATATATATATATATATATATATGTGCCCGTTATCTTGAGATGATTTCGGGGCTTTAATGTCCTCGCGGCCCGGTCCTTGACCAGGCCTCCACCCCCAGGAAGCAGCCCGTGACAGCTGGCTAACACCCAGGTACCTATTTTACTGCTCGTTAACAGGAGCATAGGGTGAAAGAAACTCTGCCCATTGTTTCTCGCCGGCGCCCGGGATCGAACCCGGGACCACAGGATCACAAAACCAGCGTGCTGTCCGCTCGGCCGACCGTTCTCTCTCATTATGCACAGAAATTCCAATGGTGTTTCACAGCTCTGGTTAAGTGTCAAATTACTTGCTATGCAGTTGAAGTCTTCCAATCAGGCCATTATCGCAGGAGGATATCTAGAATTATATCAAAGATAACTTTCCTGCTGATTAAATGAATAACACAAATAAGCAATCAAAGTATTTGAGAAGTCGACACTTTATCATGTCTTGACTCAAGCATTAAATATATACCCTTAAGGGCAAGCTTTTTGGATTGGTCACTCATCCTGTGAGTGGACACACCGCCATAGTGACAGTATTGGGCAGCGCCACTCATCCTGTGAGTGGACACACCGCCATAGTGACAGTATTGGGCAGCGCCACTCATCCTGTGAGTGGACACACCGCCATAGTGACAGTATTGGGCAGCGCCACCCATCCTGTGAGTGGACACACCCGCCATAGTGACAGTATTGGGCAGCGCCACTCATCCTGTGAGTGGACACACCGCCATAGTGACAGTATTGGGCAGCGCCACTCATCCTGTGAGTGGACACACCGCCATAGTGACAGTATTGGGCAGCGCCACTCATCCTGTGAGTGGACACACAGCCATAATGACAGTATTGGGCAGCGCCACTCATCCTGTTATCTTGCCAATCACAGATAAGCAATAAATATATTGATGCAGTTCTAAAATTCTTACATATTTGAGCAACCTTCTTCCATTTAGCCAGCATCGAGAGGCAGAAACACAAATCGTCTCCTTTCTGTTGAAAATGAAATCCGTGTCTGTCTGTCTGAAGGTCGACCCAGAATTATGTGTGTACCAAAGACCACCTCACCTTAAGAGGATAAAACCCGGGACTAAGCAGGGTAGAATTTGTCTCTGAGAATGTAAGGAGTAACCTTGTGGAACGCATTACTAGGACTCAGACCCAATAAAAAGTATAAAAATGAAATTTGGAGAATTAATTTTTCAACATCCTGCTGCAGTGAAGAAAAATATAAGAAATATGGACAAGATTCGCGCCAGAATATTATATATTATATACATTTTATGTAGAGTTCCTTGAGACATGAACATTATCCACAAGGATATATAGGGTAAAAGGAATTGAACTATCAGGGGGAAAGCGCCAAGCCATTACGACTACATAGCACTGGGAAGGGGTCAGGATAAGGACTGGGAGATGAAACAGTGGAAAGAAATGGTGCCCAACCACTTGTGGACGGTCGGGGATTGAACGCCGACCTGCATGAAGCGATACCGTCGCTCTACCGTCCACCACAAGTGGTTGGGGATCAATAGGGTGAGAAACACTTGTCTTAACAGAGCCTGGACAAGTCTCATTAAGAACACACATGACTGTCTAACGAAGGGACATAATGCTATCGCCCTCGGGTGACTCTCTCCTCCTCTCATTTTCCACTAATTACACCACTAAATGCTGGATCACTTCCGGTAATACTAGACAACACAGCCTGACCGAACCAAATGTGGCTTCCACCGTCGATCTGGCCCCAGGTTCGTAAGTGCTTGCGTAACTGCTTCGTGAATCTGGCCCCAGGTTTGTAAGTGCTTGCGTAACTGCTTCGTGAATCTGGCCCCAGGCTTGTAAGTGCTTGCGTAACTGCTTCGTGAATCTGGCCCCAGGCTTGTAAGTGCTTGCGTAACTGCTTCGTGAATCTGGCCCCAGGTTTGTAAGTGCTTGCGTAACTGCTTCGTGAATCTGGCCCCAGGCTTGTAAGTGCTTGCGTAACTGCTTCGTGAATCTGGCCCCAGGTTTGTAAGTGCTTGCGTAACTGCTTCGTGAATCTGGCCCCAGGCTTGTAAGTGCTTGCGTAACTGCTTCGTGAATCTGGCCCCAGGCTTGTAAGTGCTTGCGTAACTGCTTCGTGAATCTGGCCCCAGGTTCGTAAGTGCTTGCGTAACTGCTTCGTGAATCTGGCCCCAGGTTTGTAAGTGCTTGCGTAACTGCTTCGTGAATCTGGCCCCAGGCTTGTAAGTGCTTGCGTAACTGCTTCGTGAATCTGGCCCCAGGTTCGTAAGTGTTTGCGTAACTGCTTCGTGAATCTGGCCCCAGGTTTGTAAGTGCTTGCGTAACTGCTTCGTGAATCTGGCCCCAGGCTTGTAAGTGCTTGCGTAACTGCTTCGTGAATCTGGCCCCAGGCTTGTAAGTGCTTGCGTAACTGCTTCGTAAATCTGGCCCCAGGTTCGTAAGTGTTTGCGTAACTGCTTCGTGAATTTGGCCCCAGGTTCGTAAGTGCTTGCGTAACTGCTTCGTGAATCTGGCCCCAGGCTTGTAAGTGCTTGTGTAACTGCTTCGTGAATCTGGCCCCAGGCTTGTAAGTGCTTGCGTAACTGCTTCGTGAATCTGGCCCCAGGTTCGTAAGTGTTTGCGTAACTGCTTCGTGAATTTGGCCCCAGGTTCGTAAGTGCTTGCGTAACTGCTTCGTGAATCTGGCCCCAGGCTTGTAAGTGCTTGTGTAACTGCTTCGTGAATCTGGCATCTGGACCTTTGACAAGATGTGACAGACAAGAGCCAGTCTAACGTCAGTGCGAGGTGCCAGGCGTACGAGCAGCATTTGAGCTCCGACAGACTGGTACTCAAGTGAGTACTCAAGTGCTCCACTGTGATGCACGATCACTCTCACATTAACCTCATAAGTGAACCCCCTCAAAGCTACCAGGGGCCCCCAGCCATGTGGGGCCCAGCCATGTGGGGCCCCAGCCATGTGGGGCCCCAGCCATGTGGGGCCCCAGCCATGTGGGGCTCCACACATATCTTTAGCTCTTAACTTTAATAACTGAAGCGGATATCTTTATTCATTAATGTAGACGAGTTCATAATTATTGGACCTATTGGTCTATATAGGAGTTTTCAGTCACTTTATTTCCCTTATGACTGATATATATATATATATATATATATATATATATATATATATATATATATATATATATATATATATATATATATATATTGTTGGGGCAAATGTTGACATTAATCATTTATAGTTATGAAGAACACACAGCTGTAGTTATGATGAGAACACTGTATAGAACACCTGGAGAACACTGTATAAAACACCTGGAGAACACTGTATACACCACCTGGAGAACACTGTATACACCACCTGGAGAACACTGTATACACCACCTGGAGAACACTGTATAGAACACCTGGAGAACACTGTATACACCACCTGGAGAACACTGTATACACCACCTGGAGAACACTGTATAGAACACCTGGAGAACACTGTATAGAACACCTGGAGAACACTGTATAAAACACCTGGAGAACACTGTATAGAACACCTGGAGAACACTATATAGAACACCTGGAGAACACTGTATAGAACACCTGGAGAACACTATAGAACACCTGGAGAACACTGTATAGAACACCTGGAGAACACTGGTTCTACAACAACACGCTACTGGTTACATTCACTGTGTAAAGGTCAAGATTTTAAACCTTTCCTGCTATGTCAACGCCAAGGTCACAGAACGTTCCCCAAGTGAACGTCGAAATGTTCACGTAAAGATCAAACTGTAACCGCCACTTAAAGGTCATACTGTAACCCCCACTTAAAGGTCAAACTGTAACCCCACTTAAAGGTCAAACTGTAACCCCCACTTAAAGGTCAAACTAATCCCCACGAAAAAGTCAAACTAATCCCCATGAAAAAGTCAAACTAATCCCCACGTAAGTCAAACTAATCCCCACGTAAAGGTCCAACTAATCCCCACGTAAAGATCAAACTAATCGCCACGTAGAGATCAAACTAATCCCCACGTAAAGGTCAAACTAATCCCCACGTAAAGGTCAAACTAATCCCCACGTAAAAGTCAAACTAATCCCCACGTAAAGGTCAAACTCATCCCCACGTAAAGATCAAACTAATCCCCACGTAAGTCAAACTAATCCCCACGTAAAGATCAAACTAATCCCCACGTAAAGGTCAAACTAATCCCCACGTAAGTCAAACTAATCCCCAAGTAAAGGTCAAACTAATCCCCACGTAAAGGTCAAACTAATCCCCACGTAAAGATCAAACTAATCCCCACGTAAATGTCAAACTAATCCCCACGTAAAAGTCAAACTAATTCCAACATAAAGATCAAACTAATCCCCACGTAAAGGTCAAACTAAAGTCCCCAGTAAGGGTCAAAGTGTGACCATTCACACAAAGGTCAAACTCACCTTCGCTACCAAACTCTGAACCAAGGACTGGTGTTAACTCTCCAATATACCCAACCACTTGGGCTGGATGGTAGAGCGACGGTCTCGCTTCATGCAGGTCGGCGTTCAATCCCCGACTGTCCAAGTGGTTGGGGGGCACCATTCCTCCCCCCCCCCACGTTCCATCCCAAATCCTTATCCTGACCCCTTCCCAGTGCTATATAGTCGTAATGGCTTGGCGCTTTCCCCTGAAAACTCCGACTCCGACTCCACTAGAGTGTAAATCACTGAACTAGGTGTCCGCTACAACCAAACAAGTTGTAACAACGTTTTAATGCGTCTTAAGAACGTTGTAACAAGATGTGTACTAAACAAACTCGTAATGGAGTCGTTGGCAACCATTTCACAACGGGTTAGTTGTTTCAGTGTTGTTGGAACGGACGCCACAACGGGTTAATGGTCAAACAGAAAGTATAGTTCCGTTCTGACCACAGTTCAGAAGTAAATTGTGTGTGTATACAGAAGTACACCTGTCTGTGTATACATAAATACACCTGTGTGTGTATACAGAAGTATACCTGTGTGTGTGTACAGAAGTACACCTGTGTGTGTGTGTATACAGTGAGAAATACACCTGTTGTGTGTGTGTGTGTGTGTGTGTGTGTGTGTGTGTGTGTGTGTGTGTGTGTGTAGAGGCGCCAGATATTAGGGTTCGTGTAGCGTACACACACACACACACACACACACACACACACACACACACACACACACACACACACACACACACACACACACACACACACATTTGGTTGTGTGTTTGGTATTCAACGACTTACAGACGACATTTAAAGGTTAAACGAAGATTAGGATTCACCAAAACTCATACACGTAAAAACTTGTCATACACAAACGCACAAAATCACCTCCCCCCCCCCCCCCCCCCCCCCCCCCGTCTTCTGGCACTGCCACAGAAGCCAACAAACACACACAACAGAATTTCTGTCTGTTCTCCGTCTCGCCCCAAGCCAAAGAGGGAAACAGACAGACAGACAGACAGACAGACAGACAGACAGAAAGACAGACAGACAGACAGACAGAAAGACAGACAGACAGACAGACAGACAGACAGACAGACAGACAGACAGACAGACAGACACATCTCCCAGCAAGAGATGAACTTGACGGGTGAGTGACAGGTGGCGGCAGGTATCATATTTCACTTGATTGCCAACACAGGTGGCTCAGCTGGCTGACCGGGTCCCTCGACCACCTGTCCTTCACCCTAGTGACTCTTTCCACCTGCGTCGACATGATTTTGTCAACTTGTAAACACAGACGTTTAATTATTACACTTCCGATATTTCCAAAACAGCCTGGGATAACAGGCTGAAGCCTCGCTAACGAGGTCATTGGCGATTAATCAAGCCTTATGAGATATTTAACCCCTCATTCTCTTGAGTTGCCACTCCGTAAAAAAAATTACTGTTGAGTAGGTGATGAGTAACAATAACATAGCTGATGATTTAATGACTAAATCATACGCAAGAAGATTATCTCCTCGTCTTGTCCTCTCCAATAGTTTGAGGTAACTAGCCGTACAGGTAATGACTTCAGGAACACAAATGAAGTAAATAAATCCACAAGGGCCGTGACGAGGATTCGAACCTCGTCAAGTACGTTGCATTTTTAAGGAATCGGTCGAGTGTGCACCAAAATACGACTATCTTGAGATTATCTTGAGATGATTTCGGGGTTTTAGTGTCCCCGCGGCCCGGTCCTCGACCAGGCCTCCACCCCAGGAAGCAGCCTGTGACAGCTGACTAACTCCCAGGTACATATTTACTGCTAGGTAACAGGGGCATTCAGGGTGAAAGAAACTTTGCCCATTTGTTTCTGCCTCGTGCGGGAATCGAACCCGCGCCAAAGAATTACGAGTCCTGAGTCTATCCACCAGGCTACGAAGCCCTGTAGGTGAGGCCCTAACTAGGTGAGAGGAAGAGTTGTTGAAGTACCAGTAGCATACATCACCCTCCACGACGCCCAGTTATAGCTCGACTCTAATGACTGATCGAGAACATAATTTTTACATTCATTAAGCATCAAGGATCTCATCCCATGGACTCGGGTTTCAAACAAGAAGCAGATCTCTACAACAAGCAACAAGAAGCGCTCAGCAACAATGAAAAGCAGCGCTCAGCAACACCCACTAACATCGCTCAGGAACAAACAGCCGACCACAATAGTTAGCTCGGTCAACTCTAGCAAGCAGTGGTGGGTTATCTTCTTCAGGTTATCTTGAGATGATTTCGGGGCTTTAGTGTCCCCGCGGCCCGGTCCTCGACCAGGCCTCCACCCCCAGGAAGCAGCCCGTGACAGCTGACTAACACCCAGGTACCTATTTTACTGCTAGGTAACAGGGGCATAGGATGAAAAAAACTCTGCCCATTGTTTCTCGCCGGCGCCTGGGATCGAACCCAGGACCACAGGATGGCTATATTATCCTGCCACAGTCGTCACGGGAGCTATCCTGTAGTCTCCCTGGCTATATTATCCTGCCACAGTCGTCAGGGGAGCTATCCTGTAGTCTCCCTGGCTATATTATCCTGCCACAGTCGTCAGGGGAGCTATCCTGTAGTCTCCCTGGCTATATTATCCTGCCACAGTCGTCACGGGAGCTATCCTGTAGTCTCCCTGGCTATATTATCCTGCCACAGTCGTCAGGGGAGCTATCCTGTAGTCTCCCTGGCTATATTATCCTGCCACAGTCGTCACGGGAGCTATCCTGTAGTCTCCCTGGCTATATTATCCTGCCACAGTCGTCAGGGGAGCTATCCTGTAGTCTCCCTGGCTATATTATCCTGCCACAGTCGTCACGGGAGCTATCCTGTAGTCTCCCTGGCTATATTATCCTGCCACAGTCGTCAGGGGAGCTATCCTGTAGTCTCCCTGGCTATATTATCCTGCCACAGTCGTCACGGGAGCTATCCTGTAGTCTCCCTGGCTATATTATCCTGCCACAGTCGTCATGGGAGCTATCCTGTAGTCTCCCTGGCTATATTATCCTGCCACAGTCGTCATGGGAGCTATCCTGTAGTCTCCCTGGCTATATTATCCTGCCACACTCGTCAGGGGAGCTATCCTGTAGTCTCCCTGGCTATATTATCCTGCCACAGTCGTCATGGGAGCTATCTTGCTCTTCTATCCCTGCTTAATCTCATCACACAAAATATTATGATGTTCTTGAAAATATTAATGTCTTTTCTCCCTGTTTGTCTAACTATTCCCTCCCCTAAAACTCTCTCTTTCTCTCTCTGCCATTCTTTCTCTCTCTCTCTCTTTCTCTCTCACACACAATTTCTCTCTCTGTCATTCTCTGTCATTCTCTCTCTCTCTCTCTCTCTCTCTCTCTCTCTCTCTCTCTCTCTCTCTCTCTCTCTCTCTCTCTCTCTCTCTCTCTCTCTCTCTCTCTCTCACGCGACGTTAAAAAGAAGTTCCGGTAGAACAGATTAATAGGTGGGCCATATTCTATTCTGTTGACCTCTTTATCAATGTTAGCAAGGCAGGTTTCCCTCTATACCAACACTCAACACAAGACAGCTTATCTTACGCTACAAGAGTAACATCACCGGCAACTTGAAGCAACTTAAGCTCATGAGGAACTCTCCCAACACTAAACGAAGCGACTTGAGAAGAATGTCATCTTACATGCACACTTAGGGACTGTCTACCCTAAGTAAGATCAGTAAGTATCCTGCTTGACGAAATTTTAAACACTGTGTCACTAAATTCTACGGATTCTGCATGCCAATTTTGAATCGATTTTCAATACGTTTTCTAAGAAAATTTCCCAAAGCTAAACAATCCTGAGGTTGCAATTTCAATTGAGAAAATCTTCCACGTTAATTGACTTAAACCGGCCACCACAAGAACTAGTTTCAAAAGAAAACTAATTTTCACGACCATTCTGAAGAGTTGTAAGTTTGAAGTCAATACTAATAAGTTGTTGTTGTTTAAGATTCGCTACCAATTTAATTTCTTTATTATGCACCCCATACCCATCCCGTGGGCGGTGGTGTAAAGGATTACAGAGGCACATAATCGGTTCAGGAACTGAACCCTCTAGTTCGTTTAGCTAAGCAAATAACAATCTTTTGATGCTAGTTACAAAAATATTAATGTTATATATACATGTACACACTCTCATACATACATGTATATATATATATATATATATATATATATATATATATATATATATATATATATATATATATATATATATATATATACTGATGCTAAGAAAATAGTTACAGGGATAGAAGCCCTAAATCAGAAGATAGTAAATACAGAATATGCGGTCATATTCAATGAAACATGTTTAAAAGAAAACCTGCTGCTAGTATACACCAATATATATATACGTATACATATATACATACATATCCATATTTAATCACCCACAGAAATACACACCTGGCACAAAAAGTTCCAAGTAGCACGGGCTATGGTGAGCCCGTAGTGGAAAGAACCCATAAAGACTCCCCCACACCCAACGTGTCTAATAACGAACAAGACTGAGCGTTACCATACCAACACGAACCTGTAATCATACGTTAGCATAAACAAGCAAAAAACAATAAATGGTGGTACAATTATCAAGAAATTCTAGACTAAAATGAGGCAACCACAAAGGGAAGGGGTTGAGGGAGGGGGTTAGGAAGGGAGAGAGTGAGGGGGGGAGAGGGAGGGGGTGAGGGAGGGGTTAGGAAGGGAGAGAGTGAGGGGGGGGAGAGGGAGGGGGTGAGGGAGGGGGGAGGGAGAGGGGGGGGGCTGTGATGAGCATCATGCCTGTGAAATCCAGCGAGCAATTTTGTGCCCAACATGATTGATTCTGGCTGATGAGTGATGTTTCCTTAGTAATTAGTGATGATCATTATGTGATCCCCTACCCCCCCCCCCTCCCTCACCTGTTGATCCTCCCCCACCTCCTTCCTCCCTTCACCCCTACCCTTACCCTCCGTCTGTCTACCTGATCTTAATTACCCTCATCCCCTTTCCCCCTTCTACACCTGTCTCCCCGTCCGCCCTCTTCCCGTCTCTCTTCCCACTACCCAACTGCTTCAAAGATCCAGCTAAATGGGGGTGATGGAGCTACCACTCTCACCTCTATGACTTTGATGCAGTAAATAAGTTCATTTCTAATACATCTACAAGCCTCTGCACTTTGCGGTCAAGGAGACATGGGTGTAGATGGCGCTCTCCGCCTTGACTGCCGTCAACCCATCTTGACATGACGTTAGGGAAGCAGACGAAGGTGTCTTGTAATTTACACGAAATATCTTTGTTTTCCATTACGTTCTTGTTACAGAGAGAGTAAAGACTCAAGCGGGTATACTGTGAGCTGTCTTAAACAGCCTGTTTGATCATTCTAGTGTCTTAAACAGCCTGTTTGATCATTCTAGTGTCTTAAACAGTCTGTTTGATCATTCTAGTGTCTTAAACAGTCTGTTTGATCATTCTAGTGTCTTAAACAGTCTGTTTGATCATTCTAGTGTCTTAAACAGCCTGTTTGATCATTCTAGTGTCTTAAACAGTCTGTTTGATCATTCTAGTGTCTTAAACAGTCTGTTTGATCATTCTAGTGTCTTAAACAGTCTGTTTGATCATTCTAGTGTCTTAAACAGCCTGTTTGATCATTCTAGTGTCTTAAACAGTCTGTTTGATCATTCTAGTGTCTTAAACAGCCTGTTTGATCATTCTAGTGTCTTAAACAGCCTGTTTGATCATTCTAGTGTCTTAAACAGCCTGTTTGATCATTCTAGTGTGTGAACAGTTATACCATCCTGTGAACAAGATGAACCTATTAAACATGTGAACACCAAGTCTACACCACTCAGAAATGTTCACCCACGGTTATTCCAAGTGAACAGTCCCAGCCTAACAGGAGTCAAGTGAACTGTTAAGGAACAGGTGATGCATTGAACGTAACCACTCAATTGTACCTGGATTGGATTGTTAAGAGTTGTTCTACTCTCCAAGTGTGCTCTCCCTGACCCCTTTGCCAAGATATGAACAAAAAAACCATTGTGTTTGTGCTACATTGTTCAATAAAGACAGGAACCTTTGTGTTACGACCACACACACACACACACACACACACACACACACACACACACACACACACACACAACTGCTGTCAGATAATTTAACAGTATGAGGCACTATCATCACTGCTAAACTTCAGTGACTAAACACTAAAATATTCCGATCGGAGATATGTAATAATTTAACACTGTTGTGGTGGTAAAATTAATTGGGAGATAAGGAGAGACAGACAGGGAGAGGGAGGGGGAAGAGAGAGAGAGAGAGAGAGAGAGAAGAGAGAGAGGAGAGAGAGAGAGAGAGAGAGAGAGAGAGAGAGAGAGAGAGAGAGAGAGAGAGAGAGAGAGAGCGAGCGAGAGAGCGAGAGAGCGAAGAGAGCGAGCGAGCGAGAGAGCGAGCGAGCGAGAGAGCGAGCGAGAGAGAGAGAGAGAGAGAGAGAGAGAGAGAGAGAGAGAGAGAGAGAGAGAGAGAGAGAGAGAGAGAGAGAGAGAGAGAGAGAGAGAGGAGAGAGAGGAGAAGAGAGCGAAGAGAGAGAGTAATTAAGAGATCATCCTACCATGGTTCCGCCCAGCCATCGGTGGCCACCTTACAAAAAGTAACCAGGCGAAACACAAATTAAGTATTCCATTCCCCTG